ATCTTGTGAACTTTTATGTGTAAATGTAGTATAGTCTTCAAAAAACAACAGTGACAGAAACACAACTGTAGTAAGAAATAGAAATATCTCTTGTTTAATCCTTAATAAATCAAGCAGATAAAAGACTAATTAGGATCTAGAGGTTTACATTGGTATCATTAATAAGGCTAATTTAACTGAAACATACAACCTCTGTAGTCCTACAAATAATCCACCTTCTTTTTCAATTTCTATAGGACATTTACAAAAATTATCCTGTAAGTGGCCACAGAGCATCAATAAATTCCCCAAAGCAGAAATGCATACATATAGCACATTTGATTACATGTGATTACACAATGTAATAAATCTAGAAATATTAAAAGTATAAAATTTTAAAAGCCACTCAATAATTAAACAATATTCTTAATTCCTAAAGCAATGAAGAAATTAAAACTGAAATGTCAAGTTCACAAAATTAGGAATAAGAAATGAAATATAATCACATTATAGAAACTTATTAAAATAGAAGATAATTCCACACTAATAAATTTTAAAGTTTCATTAATAAAAAGTTTATAGAAAAATATAAATGATCAGAATTGACCTGAGAAGGAAAAAACAATCTGATCAGATTAATAACTGCAGAGAAATGACAAAACACATTTGAATGATTTTCAAAAGCACACCAGGCCCAGAATATTTTATGGAGAAATTCAGTAAAACAAATTAATTCCTATGCTACATAAACTGTTTCGGGGGGGGGGGGGGGAGAAAAAGGCAAGGGAATAAGGGTAGGAGAAAATTTGCTAATTATTTTCATATAAAACCCTGGTATCAAAACTAGACAAGAAAGAAAGAAACTATAAGCCTATCTCACTCAGTAACATAGAAAGAAAAATTACAAATCACATGGCATTCTGTTTACTTTAACCTCTTGTGGGTTGTGAACGTGATACACTGAAGAAGAAATTGAATTATTGGTCCCATCACACTGAGGGCAAGATCTTAGACTATGGTAAAATTACCACCAGAAAGCCATCTCACAAGCTCTCCCTCAGCTCTTTCATTCAAGACCACACCTGGTGGTGACACAAACATCATTACCTGTGCTTCTTTCTATGAGTCACATGGAGTGATGGGAGATAAACCTGGTAAGGATGACTGGAACTACCCTGCCAAAGGTTGAGTCTGAGCTTCAAATGTGGGCACTGGGGGCAGCACTGAAAACTTCTGAGTGACATGTGAAATATGTTCAGAAAGGATAATCTGTTGATGGACTTAAAGCAGGAGCAGTTCTCAAGTACAGGCTAATTATAAGATTTCAGCAAATATAGTCTAGGTTTGATGGCAATGAAAGTACCAGTGAATACAGAAAAGGAGAGGTAGAATTGATGGGATTGACTCAATCAGTAGGCAGGCAGATTAAATAGTGAAAGGTAAAAATAATACCATCAAGAAAGTGAAAAGATAACCTACAACATGGGAGAAAATACATGCAAATCATATAACTTTTAATTTTTGAATAATTTTAGATTTATGGAAAAGTTGCAAAAGAATGCTAAGATTTCCCATACACCCCTCACCCAGTTTCTTTTAATGTTAATACCATACATTACCATGGCACATTTGTCAAAAATAGAAAACCAATATCATTTCAGTTTTAATGGTCAATGCCTATGTAATTTTGCAGAATTAAAATATCTTTTGAAAAAGTTTCCAGTCTCTGGACCATGGTCAATTAGCACTCCTATATTTTCTCCTAATTGGAACACTCTAGCCAAAGAGCTTAGTAAAGCCTGTTTTAAGATTTCTAAAAAACAAGCTACCTACTTTATAAATCTCCCTTTAATTTGGAGCCATAGCTGAATGTTTTACCTAAAACTTCAGGGCAACCATTCCACTGTGGTCAACTCTTTGAGGTTAAAAAAAGAGGGTATTATGCACCCCTATGTTTATTGAAGTATTATTTACAATAGCCAAGATATGGAAGCAACCTAGGTGTCCATCAATAGAGGAATGGATAAAGAAGAGGTCACACACACACACACACACACACACACACACACACACACACACACACAATTTGGAATACTATTCAGCAATAAAAAAGAATGAAATCTTGCCATTTGTGACAACAATGGATGGACCTAGAAGGTATTATGCTAAGTGAAGACAAAGACAAATACTGGATAATTTCACTTGCATGTGGAATCTAAAAAAATAAAACAAACGAACAAACAATACAAAACCAGACTCATAGAAACAGAGAACAAACTGATAATTGCCAGAAGGGAGAGAGGTGGGGGAATGGGTAAAGAAGGTAAAGGGAAATAGGACGTACAAGCTTCCAGTTATAAAATAAATCAACCATAAAGATGTAGTGTACAGCACAGGGAATATAGTCAATAATATTGTAATAACTGCACAGTGACAGATGGTTACTGGACTTACTGTGCTGCAAGATATATAAATGTCGAATCACTATGTTGTATACCTGAAGTTAATATAATATTGTATGCCAACTATACTTTAATGAAATTTTTTTTAAAAAAAGAAGGTAGGGCTCTAGCCACTAACTCCCCACTTATCAGTCATCCTGCCATTACATTACAATAAAGCCAAGGAAATGTTTTTAACTGCACCCCCTCTCATATTCATGAGAATTCAGGATAAGAAGCTCAAATCAAGAGAGCAGAGGCAAAAAGGCACTCGTTCCATGAAAATTATTAACTATATACCAACAAAAGTTTTTTCCTCAATATGTTACAAATAAGACACAAATCTTTCTCTTCTGATTGTAGATATAAATAAGATTTAAAAAAAAAAAGAAAAGTTCATGAGAAAGATATATAGCATATTCGATTGATTTTAAGAGGCACATTTTAAAATTCCTGCAATCAGGATGTGATGGCCAGGTGGAAACTGTATTAGTTGTCACTGCCTCAGACAGCGAGAGAGCGTTCCTGAGAGCCTCGTCAACGTTGCTGATGGAACAAAGGACGATACTGTGGGAAAGCACGGCCCACAACTCTGAACTGAACGTATTCAAAAGAGAAGGAATGTTAAGAAGTTTAATGAACACTTTAACCAATTTATTCCACTTATTTTTTCTTCTTATGTATGCATTAGGATGATATTTCAAATGTCTAAATAAGCCTAAACATTTTTTCAAAAAGAATTTTTAAAAGCCTAATGTCATAGCTTAATTAGCAGTGTTTTCTCTTCCTTTGGTGGCACATAAAATAATCGATGGTATTTAGGGATTCAACACAGTAGCAGTTCAGCAGCTACCTCTTATAAGAAATTCACTTGATAAACTACCTTACAGGTAATCTGATAGCTTAAATAAGAGAACACAAAATAAGGGCCTCCCTCATGAGAATACCTACAAGAAATAACATAATTTGGCATTATTATAATAAAAAGGACTGTTTTTCCAACCCCATGAGTTTTCTTCAAGTGAAAAGTAAAATCTTCCTTCAAAGAGCTTGTTAGTTTCAGGTATCTCTAATGAGAGATGTTTTTTTTTTTTCTTTTTCTTTTTTGGTATTGTGGTAAAATATACTTAACCTAAAACTTAAGTATAACCATTTTGAAGTGTACAATTAGTGGCATTAAGTACAGTCACAATGTTATGCAACCATCACCATTAACCATTTCCAGAACTTTTTCATCACCCCAAACTATAACTCTGTATCCATTAAACAATAATTTCCCTTCAGTTCCTCCTCCCCCAACACCTGGTAAACTATATTCTACTTTGTGTCTATGAATTGGCCTGTTTTAGATACTTTGTATAAGCTGACTCAAACAATGTTCTTTTCGGTGAGTACTTTTGTCAAGCAAACAACGAGCCCCAAATTATTCTCATAATGTAATTGTACATACTGACAATCTCTGAACTAAGTATACCGTTCTCCCAGAAATTCTGCCACTGTTCCGTGAGCCCCAAGGGCAGAGAATCTCGGACTGACCCTTCCTTAGCCTGCAGGTAGGCCTGGGGAAGCAGCTGTAACTGGGAAGAGTAGGCCGCTGAGAGCCCTGGAGGCCATCCTGGGGTAAGGGGATGGCCAGAAGGGGAGTAGGCTGCTGTGCAAGCCTGAAAACCCATGGATAAGAGAAGACGAGGATTCATCAAGTTACTTTGGCTCTGAGCTGGCCTCCTGTTTGCCTGCCAGGATATCCTGCACCCTGACGCTTAGGTTGGGCAGACACCTGTCAGAGTGGAGGCCAGACTGCAGTCTAGTCACTGTCAACAGTGCAGGAAGCTTCACGGGTCATGAGTCACCTTCCATGGCTCAGAGGTCCAAGCAGACCAGCCCCGCCCCGCCCAGACAAACCCAGTTAGGAGAGGCAGAAACAAGAGAGAAAGACAGAGAAAAGGGGGGCGGGGGACGGGACTCAGGTGGCCAACGAATGAGTTAAGGCGTGAGAGGGAAACACAGGGTCGAGAGACACAGAAGCAAGGTGGGGGACAGAAATAAAGCTACGATGGGCTCCAGAAAAACAGAGCGGAGAGAAATACAAAGTTGACAGGGCCGGGCTGAGAGGCAAAAAGGGCGGGTGACAACAGGTGACAAGAGACAACAACACAGGCGAAACACAGAGGTAAACAGAGACATCAGCGAAATCCGGACACAGCCTTTCTCCCTGCCTGGGCTCGAACCCGAGGCAGCCAAGCCGCGCCCACCTGGCGCCCGTGAAAGGCCGGTGGACGGACAGGGGCTGATCTCTAAGCGCCCTGGTCCGCCGAGGTCCGCCACCGCGGGGTGACCTTGGGCGAGACGCTGCCTCTGGGGCCTTGGTATCGCGGTACGCGCGCCGGGATGGCTGGAGACCGCAGAGGTGGGACCGGGGGCACAGGGACTCCAGCCGCCTGCGCGCAGCATAAGCATCCCGGTCCGAGGCACAGGCCTGGCGGGACCGGCGGCGCGCGCTGGGACCTGCAGAAAAGCCCTGAACTCTCTCCGGCTTCCCTCCGTGTCCCCTCGCTGCCCGCTGTCCCGACTCCTCCGTACCTGCCAAGGGCTCGGCGATCACATAGCCGGCCCGGGACACTTTCTGCCACCCGCACCAGGCCCGTTTATGCCGCCGCCGCCGCGATCGCTTCAGCCTACACCTCCCGCCCCCGGAAACGCTTCCCGGTCCCGCTCCCCGAAACTGCCAGTGCTTCCGGGGATGCGTCAGAGAGAAAGCGATGTGCGCATGCGTGACTCGCGTTCTAGCCGAGGCGTCTGCCGAGCGCTCCGAGGTAGCGAGCGCCTGCGCAATGTAGCCTGCAGCAGGTCAAGCCGCTTTGGGGACTTGGAGTCCTAAACTTTGACCTATCTCCGCCTGCCTAGCAGAGATGTCAAATCGTTTTTGCCTCCACAGCACCTTTGGCACGTCGAGGATGCTTGGTAAGTGTTCAATGAGAGGACCAGTGAGTGCCCTCTGTGTGGCAGGCGTTGTGCTCGGCACCCCTAGGAAAAACCTCATTTTGTTCAGGTACCAGTGGAGATCATTTGATCTCAGGGGAGGTAGTCACCCCAGTTGGAGGGAATGACTCATAACTGGTCAAAACGAATCATGGTAATCTTATTCTCATTAGCCCAGTAGTTTGACTAGGCATAGTCATGTGACCAACTTCTGGTCCATAGTTCTCTAGAACGTCTAGTTGAGTATGCTTCTGAAGTGCTTTGCCACGTCTGTTTTCCTTCTGCGTCTGAAGATTGGAAGTTCAGTCACCATCATGTGCTTATGACGCGACAAGCAAACGCGAAGGCCCGCGCAGAAAGATTGAGAAAGCCTAGGTCTCATATGGCATTAAGCTATAGCTCCAGGTTTGAACTGTTTACCTCTGGATGTTTTGTTGTCTGAGCCTAATAAACTTCTTACTTGGGCTATATTTCTAGCAATTTTGTGGACTACACATCTACAAATATAACAGCAACAAAATATATAAAATTGCTAGGAGAAATATTGAAAACACCCTTTTAAAAAAAAATGCTTGTTCTCCTTCTCTCTCTCTCTCTCTCTCTCTCTCTCTCTCTCTCTCTCTCTCTCTCTCTCTCTCTCTTTCTCTCTCTCTCTCTTTTTCTTTCAACTTTATTAGGGAACAGTATGTTTTTCCCAGGACCCATCAGCTCCAAGTCAAGTTGTTGTCCTTCAGTCTTAGTTGTGGAGGGCACAGCTCAGCTCCAAGTCCAGTCACCGTGTTCAATCTTAGTTGCGGGGGGTGCAGCCCACCATCCTATGCAGGAGTTCAACTGGCAACCTTGTTGTTAAGAGCACACACTTTAAGCAACCGAGCCATCCAGCCGCCCCCCAAAATACCCTTTTAAGTGCACAGATAACTTGCAAGAAAGTCTGGAAAATCATCTGAGGCCAGGAAGAAAGGAGAAACACAGGCCTAGGAAGATAGACAGAGCTGATATTCAGAAGTTATGCACGGGCACAGTCTGCATCTGTTCCGATTGGTTGGCGCATGTGCTATACTGACAAATATTTTTAAAATCATCTCTGGAGGTAGGAAACAGTGATGCTGCTACCAGCTGTAGGGGTATCTGCCTAGGTCCAGACAGGCTGAGAGCCAAATAGCAACATCAGGTTGGGACCAAGAAGGAATATATCTTCAGAGGAAGGATAAGCTGGAGAAAATCTTCCCTGTAGAGTCAGGCAGCAAGGAAAGGTGTCACTCACCAGCCACGTAGTCTGGCTATGTTCTCATGACAATGGCAGGGACCCAAAAGAGAGCCAATGGAAATGCACAAGCACATTTTCAAGACTCTTCTTACATGTCATTGGCCAAAGCAAGTCAGATGGCTGAGTCCAGAGTTATAATAGGAGGGAGCTAGGAAGGATTATGGCAAAGGGTTTGTTTACAGGGAAAGTGAAGAATTGGAGTCATTAGTTCAATCAGTCTAACATCTTTGCACTGTTCACAAAAATATTGATTAGCGTTAGACTTTTAATTAAACATGAATGTTAAAATTTTGAGATTTACTATTAAAAGAATACAAAATAGAATTATTGAACAAACCAGAGGGGGAGAAATGGGATTTTAAAATAGAAGGAAATAAAGGCAGAAAGAAAAGAACATAAAAAGTGGAGAAAATACAAAGCACAAAGTAAAGTGAAAAAAATTCAAATGTATCAGTAATCACAATAAATATATATTTTTAAATCTAAACCTTCTAGTTAAAAGACAAATTGTAACACCAGGTTGTTTTAAGAAATCAAACTAGAGGTCAGCCAAATGGCTCAGTTGGTTAAGAGCGTGAACTCTGAGCAGCAGGACCGCCAGTTCGATTCCCACATGGGCCAGTGAGCTGCTCCCACACTGAGCAGCCGCTGAGCTACCAGTAGGTGTCAGGATAGCTCAGCTGGTGAGCACATGTGCTCCTAACAACAAGGTTGCTGGTTCGACTCCTGCATGGGATGGTGGGTTATGCCAACCCGCAACTAAGATTGAACACGGCACCTTGAGCTGAGTGGCCATGAACTGCAGTTGGGTGGCCAGATGGCGACTGGACTTGGAGCTGAGCTAGCTGCGCCCTCCACAACTAAGATTGAAGAACAACAACTTGGCTGTTCCCCTTCCCCAAATTCCCAGCACTGTTCCACTTCCCCAATTCCCCAATAAAATCTTTTAAAAAAAAATCAAACTATACACACTGTTTAAAACACAAAGACAGAAAATTTGAAGTAAAAGCATGGTAAAAGAAATTCTTCTGGGTCTGTTAGCTATCTTAACATGGACAAAATAGACTTTAAGGCAAAAAGCATTGCTAGAAATAGTGTGGTGAATTGTGTTATTGTTCTCAATAATTTGTAGCCCCTCCCTGTAGGAGGCCTGTATTTCCCGGCGGGTGGACTTCAGGCTTGGTCACTGAAATGCAAATAGAAGTGATGTGTGCACACCTGAGCTGAGCTTTAAGAACCATTGTTCTTTCTGCCTCAAGAAGGGAACGTTCCCGATGGGGATATGCTTTCTGCCTGGATCCTTGAATGAAGATAACATGGAATGAAGAATGGGTAGTATTACAAATACCCACAATGGATGTATAACATGAGTGAAAAATTCATCCTTATTGTTGTGAACCACTGAGATTTTTAACTTGGTGTGGTCATGTGGTTTTCTTTGAGTAATGTAATGTGAAACACATCACTTGCCAGTGGGTGCTTTAAGAGGGAGTGCGTGAGTCATGCTGTCATTCAGTTACTGCAGCCTAACTTAGCAAAAGATGACTGATACAAACAGGCTATTTGATCATGAGAAAGGTTCAACTCTCCAGAAGTACATCGTAATTCTAAGTTGCAGCCACAAAATATTATAACTTCAAACTATAGTCTAGAGTAAAAAATAGATGGCACTATAAAAAGAAAAGGACAAATTCACCATACAGTAGTGGAGATTGTGGAATTCATTAGTGCTGTCCACCCTAAAGTTGAGATAATACTTGGTATTGACAGTTTTTTTTTAAAAAGTCGTTTTAATAGATATGTTGCAATATCTCATTGTGGTTTTCTTTTACATTTTTCTAAAGACGAATTATGTTGAACATCTCTTCATGTGCATATTGACAATCTGCATATCTTCTTCTGTGGAGTGTTTGTTCAAATCTTTTGCCCCACCCCTTTTTAAAAACTGGGTTGCTTCCTTTCTAATGGTTGAGTTTTGAGGTTGTTTATATATTATGGATATAAGTTCTTTATCTGATATGTGACTTGAAAATATTTTCTTCTACCCTGCGGGGTACCCTCACCCCAGGGAACCACTGATCTCTTTTCTGTCCCTATGTTTTTGCCTTTTCCAGAATGGAATCATGTAGTATGTGACCTTCTGAATCTGGCTTCCTTCACTTAGCATATAATGCATTTGAGATCAATCCATGTTGTTATGATATTAGCAGTTTATTCCTTTTTATTGCTGAGTGGTATTCCATTATATAGATATACCACAGTTTATTTATCCATTTTCCCATTGAAGAACATTTGAGTTGTTTCCAGTTTGAGATAATTATGCATAAAGCCACTATAAATATTCATGTATAGGCTTTAAGTTTTCATTTCACTTTTGTGAATACCTACAAGTGAGATTACTATATGTATATGTTTAACTTTTTAAGAAATGGTCAAATTGTTGTCCGCAGGGATTTTATCATTTTACATTCCAACAAGTCAAAATATTCTCTATATTTGGACACTTAAAACATACATGAAAATCATTAACAGGTTAAAAAAAGAGATTATAATGAAATTTTTAAAATATTTAGAATTAATGGATAATGAAAATGTCCTTTAATTCTTAGAAGAAAAGTGTAAAGGTAATGAGTTAATTGCTTAACTTAAAAGGTTGGGGAAAAGAAACAAAATAAACCCGAGGAAAGTGAAAGGGAGGACATAAGAAACATAAGATCAGACATTAATGAAATAGAAAACAGAAACACAATAAAGATTGATAAAACCTAAAGTTAGATTTTTGGAAAGACTAATAAAATTGACAGGTATCTGGCAAGATTAATAAGGCTGTATGTATGTATAAATGTATAGTTATATAGACATGAATGTATATATAAATATATATGTATATAAATACACACACACACACACGCACACAATTTACCCCAAAACCCAGGGGCATAAAACAAGTTATTTATTCCCACTCATGTATCTGCAGGTCAGCTAAGGGTTGGCTGATTTAAGCTGGGCTCAAGTGGGCAGCCTGCTTCAAGCTGGGGGCCAGCTGAGCCTGGCTCCTCATTGCAGGTTGGGCTCAGGTCTACCCATGTATTTTCATTCCAGGGCCCAGCTGAAGGGACAATAGCTACCCAAGGGAAGCTTTTCTCATGGAATACAGAAGTGCAAGAGATCAACCGAGATTAGCCGTCACTGTGCAAGCACATTTGATGCTTTTGCTTCTATCATCTCTGTTAACATCTGTTGGGAGCCGGCTGCACCTCAGTGTCTGACATGGCCAAGCGCACTGCTATTGTGACAAATTCTGAAGCTCTGACTGAGAAACAGATACTGCCTTATATCGTAGAAGATTTAAATTCCCCTTTGGATGCCCCCCAGTAGGACGAAGATCTTACACCCCTTCTGACAGATATATCACAATAATTCTATTTTATACACTAAAG